AAAAAAAAAATACTAATTCTGAGAAAAAGGCAAATTCTAAGAAAAAATGAATATTTTGAAGAAAATAAGTCAAATTCTGAGAAAAAAACTTGTTCTGAGAAAAAAAGGCAAACTCCGAGAAAAAAGTCTAATTTGAGATGCATTGTGGGACATGTAGTTTATGGGCAATGTGCTTCTGTAAAGCGGCATGTAACCTTATAATAAACATATTATATTCTTTGCAAGCTCTTGTGGGGCCGCATGAAATGAAGTCGCAGGCCGGATTTGGCCCCCGGGCCTTGAGTTTGACACCCCTGGTCTATGGAGTGATTGCGAAGATGAAACACCAGATTATGCTGACATGTTCATTTTTATTCAAGCAATTTCCAAACCTTGAACAACTTAGGCTAATGTGTTTTCCAAACTTTCAAGACTTTTCTGAATCCCGTTTTAAAGCTATTTCCTACCTCTCCCTCCTCTATCTGGGTTTCAACATCTTTTCCAGATTTGGCAGGTATGAACAGCGGGGTGTCGGGTTTGTCCAGGAAAGCATCAGTCTGGCACTCGATATCTGAAGCCACTATAACATCACTTAATTCTTCCAGATAAAGGTCTAAAGGGCAAGAGAATTGCAAAACAACTTTCAATCAGCACGTTTGAGAAACTCATAATGAATAAATGAGAGTAGAAGTGTTTTGAAGCCTTGCCTGTTTGAACGTCGATGTGTTTTCTGCCCTGCAGCGCTTCAGGAGTCCTGGTTCTGCACTGCTCCCTGGCTCGCTTTGCGGCAACGGTTCTCCTCCGGGTCTCCTGTTGTCTCTGAACTTCTACAGGGTCTGGCAGAGCTGTCTGTCAAAGGGGGAAGATAATTCACATGATTTAGATATAATGTCAGAAAGAGAAGCAAACCTACAAGGGGTCATGCTCAATGATAGTGTTTCATACTTACAGTTGGTATGATTTGCTGGGCGTAAGTGTTTCCTCTGACAACTCGGCGGTCATACATAATGTTCCCATAATTACTCTGGGTCCTACATCATCAGGAAAAACACAGTGCAGTCATGTAGTCAGATTATTAGTGGCTGACCTTTACACATGAAAAGGGTGATTTCCTGATCCATGTTAAGCTGGTATTTTCCAACCAGCATTAGATATAAATTATTTAGGGAATTTCTTTCTGTGGTAAATTAAGTATTGGGAATAATACTTAAAGGGTTACTTCAATAAAATGACTATTTATTTTGTATACCAAACCTTCCTACTGTGTTACCTTGATTTCTCGCCTGCCTCAAAGGGCGAACAAAGAACAATTTGGTGTATTGTAAAACACTGCAATAATTCTTTGTTCACAATGGATGCATGCCGGAAAAACAACGTCGAGAAAACAAGGTAACTTGGGCTGGGTACTAGATAAACAAAAGTTCATTTTGGGGACTGAGTATTCCTTTAAGTAAAAAAGTTGATACTACAGCATTAAATGCAAAATGATGAGTAAAAGTCCCGTATATAAAAATCCTAAAACGTCTTCAGCAAAATGTATACAGAAGTAGAAGTAGTTATTCCGAAGAATGGACGTTTTCATGAAGTATTACATCATTATATGTTATATTCAGGAACTCCATGTATTTGTTTAACTAATAAAACACATTTATTGTAATGGCATAGTCATGTTAAAGTTAGATCTGTTTGACTTTGAGTGTACTTTTAAGGTTTAACATGACTATGACAAATAATTTACGTGTTTTAATTACAGAGTTACTATGTGTTTTCTTGGTATGTTGGTCCATCCAAAGAGCAAACTCCATTTGAGTTGATGAAGCATTCCTACAGAAATATTACACTTTATCATAGTACTTGTGAGTATGTCGTGTTGTTAAGGTCAAACCTAATTGTTCTGAATTCGCAATGTACTGATTAGTAGTATCCAGTCAATGCATCATATTTTACAAGCTGATTTGATATGTCTGTTTTTTTTAAATCTTATTCAGTGGATAAGAACCTAGAAACTAACTAAAGCTGTCAATTGAGTGTCGTATAAAGAAAATAGTACACTATTTGCCTCTGAACTGTAGTTTGTGAAAGTGAGTGAATATTATGATGTGTTAGCTACAGTTCTAGCTAGTTCCACCTGCCTTAATTCAATGCTGGAAGCGCTGAAGCAACGTTAGCACCTAGCTTAGCACAAATCAATCAACAAACTCACTGTTCGGACGGAGGCTCTCTGTACTTGGACCTGTCCTCCACAGGTCTGGGCCGGCTGGAGAAAGTGTAACTTCCGTTTTGATCCCTCTTGGTGGGTGAAACAAAAGCCATTATCTGTCAGAAACTAGTAGACAAAACATCAGGTAACGTTAAGTGGTAGAGATACAGTTGGCAACGAACTGTCGTAGCAACCGTCTCCAGGAAGTCTAGTAGAATGGCCCTTACATCACTTCCTTTATAATTAGGCGGTAAAAAAGTTTGTCATGGTTTTAAACCCTTTTTATATTGATTTAATTCAATATTAAAATACAAAAACAATAAAATAAAATAAACACAACGTTTTTTTAGAATATTGCAGGAGTTTGCACTGTTGTGGAAGTATAGATGTGTATTACATTGTTATGTATTGAGCTCTATTTACTTAATTATTGAAAAGCATAGGCTACTGACTTTGGAATAGTTAGGTACAATCAAAAGCAACATGGACCTTTTGTCTTTTGTTAGAATGAACTTCCAATGTAAAAGACTAAATCAATATCATACAAGCAACCTTTTCCCAACTAAAACCAAATTAGAGGGTCAACAGATGCACTATTTTTGTATTTGCGTTCAGGCAACCTTAGTGGCTTTTCTTGTTATGTTTCAACACTTTTCAGTTCTTAGTATGAGTCAGTGACGTAAGGCCCATTTCCTGTACAGAAGTCAATGTGACAAACAAAGTAAATGCTATACTACACCTATTTATTAACTTGATAGAAGGGTTAAAACCAATGTCCTGTATATTTTCTGCTAATATCACAGACAAAGTATTTAAATGTTTAAACTGTGCCCTTGAAAACAGACTTGTTATGCTCATGACACTGTAATGTGGGCATCACATAGGCATTTGGGAGAGGAAAGCAGAAACTCTGCTCAACAAGTTCCTAACCACAGCATTTTCAGCTGTACAAAATGTCTGAAAGTTTCAGAACAAAATAGGGCACCGCAATACAACCCTATTCTGTATTTGTGAGTACAAAGGTGAGAGCTCTGCGGTCAGAGTGACGACTGAACGGCACATTTGCTTTCCATATCAGAGATTTCATGATCGTGCCCCAGTTCTTGCAAGTATGATTAGTTACATAACACTAGATAGTAGATCACAAAGAATCATTCAAACTTTATTCACAACAAAACAATCAAACATGCTGATAAGTACTTCTTATGACTTCTTAGAATTTGAGTTATATATTAAGAAACAATTGAGAAAACTGTATGTAAATAACAAAACAAAGGGGCGGTACTTAACATTTCCACAAAAACGATACTGTATTCACAACACAGCCAGCTGCTGGAGGAGAAGACTACTTTGGACCTACATCATGTTTTTATAATAATTATGTTCATTATATTATAAATAATGAACGTCTGTTCAAACGAGTGAGTTGTAAAGGACTGGGATTTGCTTTCCCCTGCATGTTATATTGTTTATGTTGGGCTGTCACAAATCATGAAGCGTAATTAAAGGGTATAGACTGTTGGGCTCTTCTCATTAGTGTTGACTGTAAACCATGAGATTACGCAACCAGGACACACGCTCATTTCTACTCAGTGCAGTAATGTATTCACAACATCATTCTTTGATGCAAACAAAGAGAACGTTTTTCCAGAATGGATTAAACCTTTTAAATCCAGAAACATAAATAACTATAGAACAAGCACTTCCTCAGTGTGTGCTCCTACTTGGTCCACTCTTTTGAAACAGTAGGTGATGACTCAAGTCCCCGGGAATCTGGGTGTTTATTAAAGATAATTGGCATCCAAGTGGAGGAAGCATCTATTAGTGAGTATACCGCACAGTGAGGACAGGACAGGAGGTCAACAGGTGTTAGTGGGAGCAGTTTGGAGCAGTGAGGTTAGACGAGAGGCAATAACTGAACGCTAAGTGATATTTTTAAATGCACAATGTGAATGGGCTGAACATATGCAGCGACAATGTAATGCAGTCCAATGCTTTACGATTCAAAATAATACTTGTGTGAAAAATGGGTTCAATTAATTAATTAAAGTCTATGATTGTGCGATGTGTGGTGAGTGGTGCATTGAGAGCACGTTGACTGCTGCAGGTTTATTCCCATGTGTGATGGTTTTCAGGGCTGTATGCAGGCTGAAAGTAATACCCTCAGATTCAAGAGTAAATTACAACATTCTCCTCTCAGATGCCGAAACGTAAATCATATATATAAATATAAAAAAGCACAGAGCTGTAAAAAAGCAAACATATTATTATCTATCATCTCTATTGCGGAAATGAACATATTCTTTAGAATGGTAATGGTAAAAATACAGCAAATATTTCCTTTTGTATGACCTATTTTCATCATTACTTCTGTTACAAATGCGATGCTTTGTGCCGCTCCGCCTTTCATATACAACGAGCAATCACATTGAGCTAAGCATTAACAATGTTCACTGATGAGAGGGGCACATTAGGTTTATTGTGAAAGAGCAGGTTGTTATAAATTGATTGAAATTAACTCTTATTGAAAGGCTTATAGGTACTTAAAGCAATGCAGTATATGGAAGTTATTTCGCAATTGTTTGACCGATGCATGGGATTGATTGTTTATCATAAACTCTGAAGTGTTTATTACAAGTCAGTTTGTTTGTAGCCTCATCATTCATATAGCTGCTAATTAAACTTGTGTTGCGTCTGTTTTTAGTTAAGCTATGAAGTTACCTTCAACACAACCACTGTATTTTGGCAAATGTATTTCAACAGATACCTGAAGACTCAAGTTCCCTCACTTTGGCTTTTAGTTTTTTTTTTAAATAAGATCAACTTGCAGCTTAAGATGAGCCGTCTTCAACCAGAAGTGGAATCAGAGCAGACAAATTCTGCTGCCTTGCTGTTAGTTCAAGCGCTGAAGTGATTCACAATATCACTTATTACATGTTTCTTTTATGTGACAACATCAATGAGACATGATCAAATAAATATGTCAAAGAAAACTAAATTGAACAAGCAGTAAAAGTACTTTTAAAGGTCTTTGGCTGATTTGGTTAGGCTTGTAGTGTTGTTGGTCTGCATTATGTTACAAGATCTTCCTGTTTTTTAATCCCCACACAAATCAAAAAACCTAATGTAGAATAACAGAAATTCCCATTTGATTCAGGTGTAATAACTTGTATGCTTCACATATTAATGTGGATTTCAGGAAGTTGCTCTGACTTGTGTAACTCACTGTTTAAACTTAGGTATGAATTGTATCAGCTAGTCGAGGAAGGAAACAGAGTGTTAGACAACCTAAGAAAGGAAGGAGAGGTAGCATCAGATCAGTCAAGAGACAAGAACTGCAATTCAGAGAAAAACCAAATCCGCCCATGTGACCTCGTCTGGTTTCCTTCTGTGTTAGTGCATGTGCCTGAACATGCTGTTCTCTCAATGAGGCATGTTTGCTTCTTTTATGAAACACATCAGGCAAACAAACTGAGACGAATGAGTCTCTGTGGTTCATTGTATCATAAAAGGCTGCTGCGATTCAGGTGGGCCTATAGCATGAAGCTTTTATAAAGTCTCACAGAAACAGAGAAGGACATTTTTTCATTTGTTATTTTCTTTTATTGCGTTATCCATTAGAGCTCAAACCATCTGGAAAACCGCTTGACAAAGATTACATCTATCTTCTATTTTATTTACAATTTAGCATATACAAAGCATAGTCTATCACAAGAAAAAGTGCTTTAGTGTAGTGGAAGAAAAATACAATGCATTAGAAGAGGATTTACAAAAAGCAAACATATTATTAGCAATACTGTACAAATCACAACTAAAACAGAAAATGAAAACTCATAGCATATTTGATCCACAGTCAACTGTGTTTTCATAGCTTCATCGTGATAGACTGCCTATCATACGTATAATACATCTCTTTTAAGTGGTGTACTCTTAATAGTACTACTGAGAAAGTGCAACCACAGAGGCGGCACATATGACATTCCTTTAAAGTGAAACAGTGATAAAATAAAGATTGGAATATCTGGACATATACAAGCAATTCTGCTCAGTGGGCAGAGCCTTAAATCACATTTCCTCTGTCTCAACAACCCGAGAACAGTGAAAAGGGGAGTAGCTGCTATTATGAAGCAAAGTACTCACAATATTATGTTCTCTAAATCAGCAAAGATCACAAATGCTTTTCTCTGAATGAGTTACAAATACAATAAGTTTGCAGGGTTGCTGGAGTGAAGTTTGAAAACCAGATCTTCGGCTATGCCCACTGACAAATGTTTGTATATATCTAAAATTCCAATCTGTGTAAAGTCATTCAAACATAAGACTCCTTGGCGAAAAAAATTTCATCAAACACAGGCTGGCTGCATCTCCGGGACACGGCCTCTTGGCGACCTGCGGACACGGACTCCGACATCGCTCTCTGACGGAAAGGCCGCCGCTGCTGGACGTTAGCGTTGTACTGCGCCTCCTGAGGGAAAGAGTCTCTGTACTGACAGACTGAGCTGGTGCCTGGGAAGTCATAATTTACAGAGGAAGGCCGGGACCTTCTCCCCTGCTCGATGGCGTCGTGTACAGTCATCGATCCGTACCGTGAAGGAGGACCGGCGTTCTGCACCGCCTGCACGTACGACGGGGGTCTGAAGGGGATCTTGCTGTCCACCTGCTTGAACACTTCAAAGGCGGACAGAGGGCGAGGTTTGGGCTCAGCCGGTGGATCTGCTTCACTCTGAGAGTCCTCCTGCAGAGTTTCACAGGGAAAGGAGTTTTCCTTCTGAGAGTCCTTCTTCAAGCTGCTCCTGTTGAAGGCTCCTAAGCTCCTGGTCCTCATGAGGACTTTACTGGCAACTCTCATGGACTGTGAACGTTTTTTCTCATCTGGAATCGGCTTTGGAATGTCCTGCTCAATGGTTTTGTTTTCTCTCCGGGTGCAGGGTGGCGACCCCACGGGAGAGCTGGTGAAAACAGAGCCTTCTGACTGATTAGAGGCGGCGCTCTCCAGAGAGGAGCAGGAGCAGTTGGCTGCCATGTAGGGCAGGTGATCCATGTTGGAGCTGCTGCTCAGCTTTGGAAAGGACAACACCTGTTTTGCTCCACCTCGTTCTCTGAGCAGGAAGGAGTCGTCTGAGATCTGCTTTCTGAGTGGTTGCTCCTCAAAGTGCGTCCTCTCCAGCGAGCAGTCGTCGTGGCTCCT